CACGGGCACAGACACAGACACACTTGCCGACTCCCTCCCCCCCCCCCCCCCCCCCCCCCCCCCCCCCCACCCCAAGGCTGAACCGAGAGCACAAGGAGACGTGTGAAATGGACTGGTCCGACAAAGTGGAGGCCTACAACATCGATGATACCTGCTCCCGCTACCACAGCCAGAGCACTGAGGTGCAGTCCCACCAGCACTCGGCCCGGCTGGAGGAAAGGTAGAGATGGACCTGCCCTCGGCAGGAAGGGGCTCTGGGCATACCTGGGCACTATCTCCGCCCGCTCTTCCTGCTGAGTTTGGCCTGGGCGGAGTTGTACAGCTCTGGGCCCCAGCAGGGGAACAGTAGGACCACTAGGCAGAACACTGGGGATTAAGTTCCGCGCGCGGCCGACAGAGAGCGCGCGGTCACCGCCCACCACAGCACCATTGGGCTGGCGTCTAAGCGGGGTTGGTGGGAAGCGTCGGTGAGCAGTGCACGAGGGACGGGGCGTGTACGATGCGTATGTGGGGCGCCTGCAGAGGCAGCCTGTGGAGGTTCAGGGTCGCAAGGGGCAAAGTGATCGCCAGGAGCAGTGTGTAAGGGCTGACTCATCCAGATGCGAACGTCAGGGCCCATGGGGGACTGGGGATCAGGAGGAGCGATTTGTGTGGGGATTCGCAGGAGTCACGTGGGGGGCACTGAGTGTGTTCAGGGACGCGGGTTCGCCAGGGCGAGGAGGAGGGGAGGACCTCACTGCTGGGGGGTCCGAAGAGGCAGAGGGGCATGGAGTCTCCGACGCTGGAGGGGCACAAGAGGGGCCAGGCCTAAGGAGACCTAGAACGAAGTGCCGGCACCCTTCCCCCCCCCACACACATACACAGCGCTTCCACTCCCGAGACGTGGGCCAAGTTCACCCGGGACAACCTGTACCGCGCGGAGCGTGAGCGTCTTGCTTCGGTCAACCTGAGGCAGCTCATCGACTCCATCATGCGGGACACATCCGAAGACCTTCGGCTGCAGTGTGACGCGGTGAACTTGGCATTCGGACGCCGCTGCGAGGAGTTGGAAGATGCGCGCCACAAATTGGACCACCACCTGTCGAAGTTTCGGCATCTGGGCGCCTGGCCCTTT